TTCAAGGTACACTCTTGCTGAGCTCTTGAGCTGTTAATGTACACTTGAGTAGGCTGGATCTTCCTTGGGTATGCTGAAGAATGATACATTCCAGGCCTTGACAGCTGCAGTGTTTTTCTGTGCCAACTTTAAACAGTCTAAGCAGCCCTATTTCAAAGAAAGCGATTGGCTCCCAAGACCATTCAGGGAACAGCCTTACCAAGTCCATTAATTGAGCCAAGAGCTTAAAACGGCTGTTTAAACTTCTTTTCATTTTAAAACTGTAATAAGTTCTGGCTAATACTCATTCTGTTATACAAAATGCATAATTAGTTATAGATTTAGATGAAACAGTTTTAGCTATTAAAATATTTGTCATTTTAAGAGCATAAAGTCTCATTTTATGGTAACTTACCATTCACTGACTAATGTCTTACTAATGTTTGTTATAAATTTTGTACATCTCCATGTAAACTTTTTATGTAATAGAGTTCGTAGGTTTCTAACTGTAGGTGATGTGTCTTTTTTGTTTTTTTTTTTTTTTTTTATGCCACTGGTAACGTGTTTGAAGACTAGTTTGTGTCATTATTCTTTTGGCAGAAGTCCACTCTGGCAGAACCTTGCTTTGTTTTGTGTGCATTTACAGAAATACAGATATGCAGTGAAAGGTATTTTGTCGATCTAGCTTTGAATATCTGTTGATATAATTACAGCATTGCTTTATAGTCCTGTGTGGGCTCATTCACAGGCTGCAGTAGTAACTTCTGGAAATTCCAGTGATTTTTCACTCATTTCCAGATGACTTGGGAATGGGGAATGTTTTTGTTTGTGTTGTATGTTTCTTTCTTTCTTTTTTTTTTTTTTTTAATGGACAGTACTTAGTCTGTTCTGTTTAGGTGTTTCTTGGAAGTTTATTTAGTGCACACTGTTGACATTCAACATTCCTTATGGCAAGCAAGCCTTTTTAATGTGCAAGTTAGGATGGCTTTTTCATTCCTACTTTATCTACTGTTGTTTCAGTACAGATAGAAATATTGCAGAACATAGTTATGTAAGAAGTGGCAATTTTACTGACATAAGTACAACTTGGAGTTGATTTTACTCTTCCTTGAGCAACTTCAAAAGCAGTCTGTGGAATAGGTGCTTTGAGGTTAATCTGAACTGCTTATTCAGTTAAAAGAGATCATTTGTGCCTGAGTGTGTTCTTGTTAGGAAGACCAATGTTCATTGAAAGTTTATATTTTATATATTATCACAAGGTCAATTTCTGGGAGACTTGGCAAAGTTTAAGTGGAAACTAAATTGACAGAGACTCAATACTCAGCAATGCTGCATACTCAGCAAAAGTTACAAGAGGAATGTGAACATTTAACTTTTTGTTTTTTTTTTTATTGTACATACATTCTGTATCTAATTTAGTAATTAGGAATTATTCAGTATATGTTATATTAGTTGTCCCGGTTTGTTATTTTTTGTTACAGAAAAATGGTGTGCTTGGAAGTATGTATCTGCAAGTCGTTCACTATTCTGTCTTCTGATGCAGTGTGGTGTTCTCCAGCTTCAACCTGGAGTGTGTAGGAACCTGCATGGTACAATAACAGGCAGCACTGTGCTTACAGTGACTCATTATATTTGATAGTGCTTTTTGGAGTTGTGCAGAAGCCTAAGTGTCTCAGCTCTTCTAATAAATAAATAAGCAGAAAATACAACAGCTACTTACATGGTCTTGTATAGAGGACAGTAAAGAGAAAAGGTAAGGAAGCATGATGGTAAGAAAATCCAAATCTTTAAACTGGTAAACAAAACTGAACAAAGCTAGTGAGCTCATAAAGCAGCATCAAAAAGTTTGTTTGACTCAAGATTTTTGAGCTTTTGCAGGTGAAATACTCTTGACAGTATTATATTTGGACTTCTCTGTTCTGTAATGACTGAATAGCCATTAGAATAATGTGTTAGTGATTTTAAGTAGCTTAGTGTAAAAATGCACAGTGAATTGTTTATTAAAGATACAAAAAATATTCAAGCACTATTATCAGTTTTGTTTTGCTCTTCATATTCTGATTAGCTATTTGAATTAAAATTATTTTGAAATTAGTTACGTATAATATGTTAGAAATAGTGGTTTATTCCTCCAGTATGGTTTAAAGATTTCCTTATACACAAGTGATGCCATTTAGAGTGAAGAACAACTAGCTTGCTGTCCTTACAGAAATCACATTCCCATTGTTATTATTTAGTGAGGTTTTGTTTAGCTTTGTGTTTTTTCTTTGCTGGGCTCCCAGCATAAATACATGGTAATTTGAGATGCTAAAATTACTCAGAATCCATGTTCTCCATAGATACTAATGCTTTTTGGAGGCCCGCATCTGTTTTGAAAAACATTTGTATTTTGAGTTCTGTTTATGCGTCGGAAGGATCAGATAATGTCTGATTCACAAATGTGTGTACATTGTGACTTTCCAGGCAGCATGGTAAGGCTTTTTCAGGAGATGGTGACTTTTTTGAGGACACATGAAAGAAGTGCACACTTTTTATAGCCTTTCAACCTGGATACGTAGAATCCAGGGTATTAAGTGGCATAAGGTGATAGCACACGATCAAAAAAACAAGCAAACAAAAAAAATGGTGGCTAGCCATCTTTTTGACCTGAACTGCATAACCTAAATAATACGATGCTTACTTTTTGTCCTTTAACTTAATTCATAGCTGAAAATGAACTTATTTTTAGCACTTCTACTGAATAAAGACTTGGGTACTGATACGAGGTCATTTGAGTTCATATTTATGTGATGTATGGCTCAGTTCTGTTGTTACCTTTCTTTAAAAAGTGAATGTAGTCATGCACTATAGTGTACTGTAATCCAGTTAATTACTGTGTTTGCTTGCACACAGCAGGGTCACTTTTGGTTTTGAAAAGAGTCCCACTGCTAACAGAATTTGGTTAGAGGAAGATTATTTTTCTTTCAAGTGTGTTTAAAGAACAGCATATTCTCCATTTATTTCTATACAAAGCTTTTTGTTAATTGTTTGGTTTTGTTTGGAAATGCAAAAAATCAAGTCTCAGTGTCAACACTATAGAAATTGTGTGCAACCTACAAAGGCAGTTAGATGAAATTTCTCTGTTTTTATGAAAGACAAGCTCTTCTGCAGTTGAGGTTTGCTTAAGCTAACAGTCTTGAATTGTAGGATCTCTGTGGCCAGAGCCTTGGTTTTATTTACTTTCTAACACAATTGGAAAGCTAGTCAGATTTGTCAGTTGTGTGCATTCTTACAGTAGGCAGGTAAAATTTTCTGGGTTTACAGCAGTACTTTGCTAGGGCATTAAATCTCCATAAAGTTTCCTTCCTTGGTTGGTTGAAAAAGTTGATGGCATTTAAAAATATAAATTGTGTAAACTCAAAATTGCAGAAGATGAAAGAGGAAGGTATTTTTTAAACCAACACACATAAAATGCCTCACTTCTCATTTGTTCAGTGTTTTTTATATGTTTCCCTGTTTTCAGGATGCTCATTCATCATTACCTTGCTTCTGTATGCAGTTTTAAAATTCAAAATGTGCATTTCTAAATTTGAATTGAAAGACACAGCAGAACTTTTTTAAAAAAGCACACTTTGAGGCTTTCCTCATAAACAATGGAGAAAATAGGTGCAACCATCTCTCCTGTTTCTTCTGCAGTCATTGTTAAAAGTTTGTTAAATCTGTAGTTCAGTGTTATATTGCAGTATGAATCTTGATAAAATAATTTAGACTCAGTATACTGATAAATCTTGAGAAAAGTCTGCTAGCATTAGAGAGCTCTTTTGATTTCATATTGAAGATAGTCATTGTCTTCTGAAGAAAGAGAATCATTAAGATGGAGTGATTGTTATGCGCTGGAACTAGTATTGCTTGTACAGATCAAGTCTGCTTTCTAGAAGGCAAAACTGATTGGAAGCAAATGAAAAGCAAAGATAGCAGAAATATGAAAAGCAATTTCTACTCTTGAGATTTACTTTGATCATCCAGTATGTGGTCTTTGCTAACTCTTGAGAGATCTGTCAGACTATAGTGGTGTTGAGCTGTTTTGTGTGTTAGATGGGCTGTGACCAAAGGTGCAATCTGTTATTCTAAAAAATGAGGAATCAAGAAAAGAAGAAATGAAGTTGCAAACCTATGAAAAAACCAAACAGCAGAGGTGAAGTTAGGAATTCAGTTCTTCTGTTTCATTTAATAGTTAGAATTAAGATAGAGTTGTGCAGAAATGAGAGGATTTTAGTGGGGTTTTGGTTAATTAATGATCCCTGTGATATCTTAGTAGATTAGGTTCCAGAAGCCTGGGAGAAGAAGGAAGCAGGTTGGTTTTCTATTTCAGTCATGTGTTTCCCTCATGCAAATTCTGTTTAACACTCAAAAAGCTAGTAAAAGCTGCACTCCTATGATTTTTCCTGTTGAATAGACCTAGCTACCAATATGGTGATTTTGGCTTATTAATATCTAATTTTATGTTAGGCTCTTTTTAGCAGGTTTGGTCCTAAGTCCAGTCCATGGTTTATATACGTATGCTTTCTTCTTGTTCTTCTTGTCCTCATCTGATTTCCACCCTCTTCCCCCATCCCTCAATATTTTGATACAATTATCACAGTGTATGGTTTTAGTTTGTAACATCATGTTGAACCACGTATTCCAGGCTCAGTGTTTATTAATACAAATTGTGTTCTGCTGCTAGAAGTAGTAGAAATTGATGCAGCAAAAGGCAGCCTTGTTTGAATGATGGTGATTTCTGCTGCCTTATGTCACATTGCATACTCTTTTTGTTGAAGGTCTTTGTCTTCCTTCAAAATTCTGAGTAGCTAAAGCTGTTTATTAAATGGAACTGGTTGCAATGTTTTTTTATTCAGGGGACAGTGAGTAATTTGTAGGGAATTTTCACTAGAATAGGTTTTTTTTTGTAATTGTCTTTTGAATATACACAGTACAACTTTTGTTTATAAAAAGTGTAGCATACATTTGATGTATTTTTGTTTTCTTTTCCCATTTCTAAGGCTGATAAAGAATTTGTGTGGTCTCTGTGGAAAAATCTACAAGTGTCAAGACCAGATCTTACTCAAGCTGTCGGCTTGGTGGTGGAAAGGTGAGTTTCATTGATGTAACATGATACGAAACACAAAAGCAAACACCCCTCCCCCCCGCTAATAATATATTCTTTATCTTTTTTAACATGTTACAAAAATGTCGTTGTTAAATTTTGTCAAGAGTACCTAGAATATGTTCCAAGTTGCCATTTTTTGGTATAAATTGAAGTATACTTCAAAATACATTCTCACTGTGGTTGCTGTGCTGCAGTTGAATTAAATTCTTGAATTATAAATGTACTGCATATTATGTTTTTCTACTGAAAGAGCCAGAGGAGGTAAATGACATTTTTTGGTGTCATAAATGTTGGATAGCAATTACTTATATAAATGATGTTTATCCACATTCTTAAGGAGCTAAAGGGCTAAGACATGGTAACAGAAGAAATGACTATGCAGTTAAATTATTATTCCTCTGAGGATATTAATGATGATTTCCTCAAGGTACTTACATACTATCATCTGATTGCTATAAATTTTAGGTAATAATCACAGTATGTGATTTATCAGAATGCTAATATTTACAAATTCAGAATTTTTGAGTGCCAGAGAGAAGGAGAATGGGAATGAGTTGGTAATGTGAGTGTCAGAATTCAAACACTTGATTCTCTTATGGTCAGAAGGTTTGTCTGTTCTTCTCTCAGGGTGCCGTGAGTTTGCTATTAAAAAAAGTAAATGTTTGTTTGTTTGTTGTTGGTTTTGTTTTGGTTTTGGTTTATTTTGTTTTTAAATGGACTTTAACTTCTTTAAATGGCTTCTCAACATTACTTGGAAAGCTTGTCATAGAGCCAGGAGTCTCCTTTGGCTTCCTGTTCAGTGCTTTGATCTTGGAAGGCATGTTTTCTTTGTTCACATCTTTCCTTTCTGGTCTTGATCTGTAAACATTCTTATGCTCCTGAAAGCATTAGTGTTAAGTTCTTCAGCTGGGAGTGGATTCACTTTGGTGTTGTCCCGTTTTCTGCATAAAGCTTGAAGTCCTTTGTGCATAAAGCTAATGAAAATTTTGTCCGAAAATACATTGTGATCATGTAGCTAGATATCATAGGGCGTTTATATCCAGGGGAAGAACTTGAAGGTGTAAGCACATGCAGCTTGTTTTAAGATCGCTGTTGCCTGGGAGTTCACATGTGTTCACCAATGCTATGTTAAATAACTTCTGGTTCTGTAATGGGACACTGACCTGCAGAGAGAAGTAACTTGTGTGTTAGGACAGTGTATTACTTTCACATTGCTTGCATGTTGTGATTTGGGAAGTAATTGTAATACACAAGGGAGACATAGGAACAGAATAACAGCATCCATCATTTATGTTGAAATGCACATTCTTACTGACTTGTTTCATGATAAAATTTGGTCATAGTTTCATGAGGGCACTTAGAGTGCACTATAAGTGCACTAGAGAGCACTTACATATCTTTCTTCTTCAAACATAAAAAATGCAAGAGCTGCTTAAAATATATAAATATAGTATTTAATGTATGTAAAGATACATTACAAATATGTAAGCCCAAGTATGTTGAAAAACTTAAAAAATTGGTTTGTCTTAGCCATGTTTTATAGATAGCTGAACAATATGGAAAATTTTTGCTCTTTCACATGAAGCTTAATAGGGTAGAAACAGAGGTGTTCAGGCTCATTAACATTTTTTATTTGAGTTGCATATAAAAATAATCAGGATATTAGGACAAATTGAAGCATAGAGATGTTAGAAAGTATGCATTTAAATAATGATGAATGCAATTATTTACTTGGAGTTCTTGAATTGTATGGCGATGTAGGATACAGTCTGTCATCTTTTTTTATCCTTCTTCCTGTCTAGGAATATTTTTATGCTTGATTGTTATCCCTTGCTTTAAATTATTTTATGCTTTATTTAGAACAGAAACTGGTAATTGTGTGTGCATTATCCTAATTGATACAAAGAACTTGGGGCTCTTAGATACCACCTTGATGGCTGCAAACATGATAATGAGCTGGATTTTTTTACAGTGGTAGGAAATGTTTGTGAAACCCTTTTAATAATGTCATCTTCAGCCTATCAAAAGACTTACTACAGAAATGTGATGTATAGTAATGGCCTATTCTGTATGATGGTAAAGGTATATTTTGTATATGCTTTGCACTTTGTGTAGATTGGTGATTGGTACTGTTCCTAACAGTGTGTGTGACAACATACTTCTCTTAAGGTGCTTGTGTAGTTTTTCTTGCGCTGTCTTCTTTCAGAAAAACACTAATGCTTTAGAACACCTCTTGTGAACTCAAGGCTATGCATTTGTATCATACTTTTCCCATGCTTCTCAGAGTTATGGAATAATGAAAGAACAAATTGCTTCTACAGCATCTTTTTAGGTATTAGCATTACGCCAGAGAATCCTGGAATAGGTTTGGCTAAAACACATTCAGTATATAGGAGTTTTATTATTAATCATGACTTTGAACTTTGGGGTTGCTTTGACTTGACACGTGTATTTTTCTCTTTAATTGATATCGCTTCATCTCTTTTGCCTGAGAACAGTCTAATTGCCTCTTTGGAAATAATTTCTAGCCCAGATTTGCTTGTGAATCTTCTGAAAAACCAAATTACAGCCCCATATTTTCTCTCCTAACTTTTCTACCTATAACTTGCCATAATTTTTCCCTTAGTAGCTTCTCTTTCGTGGCTGTACCTATTCACATTCTCATCCTTTCAGAAAAGTTTTTGGCTTATTCCTTACCTTATAGCAGGGTGGATTTTTTTGTTTGTTTGTTTCATCTATAAGCATAAAAAACTGTAAATAAACTATAAATAGACTATAGTGTCAATTTATCTAGATTTCAATACATTGGTTAGATTTACAGGGCATCTGCTACCTAGCACTGCTGCTGTCCAGAAAACTCCAGGACAAGTGATATTCTGGCTTTGTTAATCTAGACAAAATAGGTGTATTTAGAGGGTGAAGAGATGGGATACCAAGTAAGAGTTATAAGCAAAATGATTCCTGAAGCATTTCACTTGAGAGATCTGTGTTGGTCGCAGCCTGCTTTGCTGTATTTTACGTGGTTGTGTCAGTCAAGAATTAAAAACTGAAAAGTTACATTGAAGTCTGATAAAAATCAGTTAAAGTCTTAAGAGACTTTTTTTTTGTTCCCATCTATATTAAGAACAACCCGGTTGTATCCAAACTGATAGCATTTTTCATCTTGCCCTGGCTTTCTCGGAGATTTTGAGATAGATGCAAACAGATGAAACGGATTTAAGCATTTTGTTGTTTCTGTTTGTGTCATGGATACCACCAGTGCTTCCGTAGCTTCATTTTTCAGGCTGTTCTTTCCACCAAAAACTCCACAGAGAATTCCGAGAAACCTTCAGTGCCCACCACATCTTTGTCACAGACTTCCTGAGATCAGAAGCCATCTACGTAATGGAAACAGACAGAACTGAAGCGTGATCATGTGTATCTGAGATCATACATATCATGAACCAAACAATATTGTCCAATGGATTTCAGTCTTTAAATTGATGAAAACAACAGCCAGACTTTCTTCAGGAGAGTAACAGTGGCAGCAATGGAAAGGTGCTGGTGTGTAAGGGCAAATTGTTCATTATCAGACTTGTACACCATGGATGTGCGATGAAGAAAAGAGAAGAAATATATATTAAGAGAAATCGTGTAGGCAGTACTAGCCGTTCAGTCAGGTAATTTATATTTGTAGCATTAGACAATTCCTTATGAATATCTTTTTCTCAAAGAAACCAGGCAAATGTAGAAGGCATAATTTGGGGAAAATAAGGGGGAATTAATAGTAGCTTTCCATTATTTGTCTGCTATTTTAAAGTGCTTTCATGGTCCCAAAATAGAAGTTCGCCTGCCCTAAAATTGTAAAAATGTAGCTAGTATTGTTTTATGGCCATGCTGTTGATTTCTGTAATACATCAATGATATTTTACTTTTCAGCAGGCTTTGCAGTTCTTGCTGGATAACTGTAACTATATTCCCATTTTAATATTCAGATGTAAACAAAAAAATATCTTTAGTGTGCAAATGAGAAATGCCTTTGGGATATGTAAAAGCCTCCAGGTATTTTCAAACAAGCCATTGTAAAAGTACTACTCATGTTAGTATACTTTGCAGCTACTTTAAATACTATTGATCTCAGTATTATATAAAGAGCATGCTATTTCTAGTTCACTGCCTTTTGAAACAGTTTTTTTCTTTTTTTGTTTTTGATGATGAGCCAAAAAAAATAGTATTAGAAAGTACCTTTTACAGGTAAACGCATGTGTAAACTCAGATAGAGTTGGTGTTCAGGTGAGCGTATCAAAGGTTTTGAAATATTTTTGTAAACTTGGAGAGCTCTCCTTTAAGACTTTTCTGTTACAGTACCTGAAATGTTGACAGGTCAACTGACTTAATTTTCTTCTAGGGCTTCTAGCTGACCCCTTTCCTCTGTACAGGAGATGTAGCAGGATTCATTAATGATCAAACTGTGGCAATGATACCACAGACTTGGTAGACATAAATGGAGATTGTATTACACTAGGTGATACCCTTGCAGATAGCTGCATTTGGCAAGTTTGCCTTATATATATGTTTTTGCACACCTAAATTCTAGGTGTGCTTTGTCTTGCAAGTCTTAGCAGAGGGCAAGAACAGATCATTTCAGGCCACTATAAGAAACAGTGGTAACCTGAATGTTAGTGCCAGTGTTTAAGAGAGAATTTTGTTGTTCTTCCTGGGGAGCAACATCTCCATAGGTGTGCACATATGTGAAAACATGGTTGAAGAGCAAGCGATTAGAAATAATCAAAGAGTTTTTGAAAAGGTAATCACAGGAACTTACATTGTGGTTTGCTACATCCTGTGAATAGCAGATTGTGGAAAAAACATTAAACAAGTTGACATAGATTCCTCACTGAGTCACGGTATGCAGATGTACTAAAAATTACAAGTACTTTTTATGTAAAAGAGTGTGCTGTATGAATGATCAATGTAGATTGCTAATGTAAATTGAAAAATAT